GTGGCACTCTTCCCGCTGCCTGTTTTGCCCACCAGGATGATCCTCAATGAGGACGAGGTTGCAAACAGCTTATGTTCTATCCCGCCTATAAAAAAAAAAAAAAAAAAATAGAGTTTTTCGTGTTTTACCAAGTCAGTGATTCAAAAAAGTTTTATTTTATCTTGGAGTTTAGTTTATGAACAATGTTGTCTTAGCTTCAGGTGTGCAGCAAAATAATTACTCTATACATACACATGTATCGATTATTTTTCAAACTCTTTTCTCATTTAGGTTATTTCGGAATATTGAGCAGAGTTCCCTGTGCTATACAGTAGGTCCTTGTTGGTAAAGTTAGTGATTCTTAAGATTTTTAGGTCATGGACCTTTCATGGTATCTCATGAAAGCTATGGACCTCTCTCCCTGCCAAATAGTGATATTTAAATACATACAAATGTTTGCATACAACTTTAGGCGACTCTTGAATGGCAGGAAGCCCACACTGGGAGCCCGAACTTGGACCCATAGCCAAGAGTAAGAACTGCTACACTATGAAGGATGCTCCAAGGACTTCATCAGGACCAGGGAAAATACAGCTTTCAGAAAGCTGGTCCCTGAGCTTTTCCAGGGATGGTGCTTAGCCCAGTTTCATGCTAAATAAATGTGAGATTAGAAAGAGGTGGAGGATGAGAAGTCATCAGTGAGAAATTATTATCACCTCTCTTTCACCCACCAATTAATTCCCAGGTACACAGGCTGCCAATCACATTCATCTGAACCTTGGGGGTAAAGGAAGTCTCAGATGTCAGAGCTCCAGTGACCTACCACCGAGGACCAGCTGAATGTCCCCGGGTTTCTTCTTTTTGGGTGGGGAGTTGGATGTTTGGACGTGAGCCTACAGAAGGCTTGTCGTTAAAGTCAAGGACGGAGTCTTGTGACGGGACACGCTGTCCCAGAACATACAGTTTCGATGGTAATACTTGGAATTAATGATGGAATGTTTTGGTTTAAAACTGTTTGCACCGTAACTGCTTTTATCGCTAACCGCCTGACTTGGCTGCTGTGAAATTGAGCTTTTCTTGCCAGCATAATGTGAACAGGAAGACGCTGGGTTCCGGATGGCCGACCCAATAGTTCAAAATTAGAACGAACATCCTGTTACCCTGGGATATAAAAACCACACCCGTACAAGACTCGGGGTCTCACCCTGCTTTTGGTGAGGCCCCGATCGGTTTGCGCTTTTGTGCGTAATAAACGCCTATCACTAATCTACTTTGGATTTGCACTGGATACTGGTGTTCTGTCTTGGTTCTGATTCCTCTCCGAGGGAAGTTCGCAGGTGTGTGCGAGACCACAACAGTCTGACAGATGACCCTGGATCAGTGGCTGAAGAAGAGATGATAAGACCATCATGTATAAGAAATACATGCGTTGGAAAGATCGTCAATTTGGCTGATACAATGACAGGAAATTAGAACAAAAGTGGTGTTGTCGAGGGTGACCCTGCATCAAGAGCTAAAATCTTCAAGGGATGAAGAGAGTGAGAATCCGAGGATTTCTGGAGTTCTCATGAGCTCAAATGAATTAAGTTCATTTTAGTCTCCTAAAATCTGTTATTGTTATTCCTTTTACCCTGTGTTGGTTCTTCCCTGTCTTAAGTATCCTGGATTTTTTTTTTTTTTAGCAAACACGATCACTAAATCTTTATGGGGAAGTTTTCCTCTTTTCAGTTGAGTGCAGGCAGGGAAGGATATCATTTTCACAATTTGTTTCCAAGTCCCCCGACTGCTGACTTGAAGTTTCATTTCCTCATTTCCCATGCATCGCGGCACAGGGGAGAGCTTCACACTCAGGTGTGTGTGGCTGTGATGATGGTGGGGAAGATAAGAACATGGTAGCTGCCTTTTCTTCTGCAGTGGAAAATAACTGGGTTTCTTTTCTGTCACTGTGTTTGAGGTGAGGGAAAGGAGGAGAGAAAACAGTGACTCTTCCCTGATGCCTAGAGCTCTTGAGAATTTGGAGGCTTTCTTACCTTCAGCCATAGTCCCGTATCTGCTCCTCTGAAGCCCTTCCATTCTCTTCTGGAATAAAAAAAGGAAAGGAGTAAAAAGCAGGTGTCCATATGGGACTTGGTAAGGCCTGAGAACACCTCCAATTCAGACAGCCAAGAATAATTATCCTTAGATGAGCCGTTTCCACCGCTAATTTTTTAACTTATATTTTACTTTCAAATCTCCATATATAACTTTAAGCAAGCCAGGTGATGCTAGGTTATATTAACACAATGAACTCCTGCTTTTTCCTCATCCTATAGGAAAGCATGAAATGTTTGAAAACAAGTCAGTTGATTATCTCCCCTCTACCTGAAAAGGCATGAAATAAAGAAAGTCTTCTTCTGTGGAATGAGAAGCAGGATTTTGTTTATTGTTTTATTATTACTATTATTATTGGAATCAAAGTAAGCAAACTTGCTAGACTACAGAATAAAAATTGCCTTGCTGTAAATGACATTGGCTTGTTTGAAGTACTGGCCATTTCCAGCCCCAGAAACTCTTTGTACCAGATGGATATCCCAGTGGCAAAGAGGAAAGTACAATGTAGCTTCTAATGGGAGTGTGGAATTGGGGATCCAGGGCTCCTGTGAGGACGGACATGAGAAGACGAGGTAGAAGACGGAGGAGCACGGCCACCACCCTCCCTCCCCTCTGAGCAGCTGGTGGAGAGAAGCTGGTGCCATGACTGAGGGACAGAGTCAACATTCAGGACAAATTCAAGATAAATTCATTTCCTGCTCAGTTTTAAACCACATGCCTTTCCTTGTGGGTCTCCCAATAACCACTTAAAATTTTTTCCGGTAGATATACCCAGAAATTGGCAAAACTATGGGGATAAATGTTTCATTCAGATGAGACATAATATTGTGTCGTTCTTCTTGGTGCTAGAAAAGGCGAGCATGCATTAGAAAAGGCAAGCATGCAATGTGCCACTATAATTAAGAAGATCTCCGAGACAGTATTTTATTTATTCAGTTTTAAAGATTATGCAGTTCTGAAACAAACATCTTAAGGGGAGAAATACACAGAGTAATGAAACAAATGCCCACTATTTGCAGTGAACAGATCTAAGTATTTTGGCATTTTCACTGCTGCTGTTTGGTTTGACTGAAAAAGTTAAAACATTACACATATAGTTCCATTAATTTATTTTTTGACTCCCCCCAACCCGTCTCATTCTCCCTCTTCCCATCAGAGGCAACCAATATTCTGAGATACACATGTATGTATAGGTAATATATAGTACTTTTTGGCATCTTAATCTTTTATGTCAGAGACATTATTTATGTAGCATTTTATCCAACTCAATTTTATTAACAAACACTTGGTGTGCCAAAATACGTGCTTGCTACTACAAACAACGCTGCAGAAGAATCCCCCTACACGTCTCCTTGTGCACATGGACGATTTCTCTGGGATATATAGTTTCCACCTGACAAGATACTGCCAAATATGACTCCAAGAAGCTTGTGCTAAGTCATACTGGCAGCAGCCATGGGTGAGAATCCCCAAAATCTTCACCTATGCTGGGTGATATTAGGCTTTTAATTTTTTGGTCACCCTGATGGGCATATCTTAGGATGTCTTAATTGGTTTAAAGGTGCATTTTATTGATTAACATTGAATTCAAAACGGTTTTCATAGTTCATTTGCTATTCAGGTCGATTCTGTTATTTCTGCCTCTTTCACATGTTTCTGTTCACTCAGGAGGGAAGAACAGAAGGCCCTCATTAGGGAAACCAGCCCTTGTCACATTCTCAGAATTTATTAAGGCAACTTCCTTCCTTCCTTCCTTTCCTTTTCCTTCTGCACCACTTTCCTTTCCTTAAGCCCAGAGAAGAGCATTTTCCTCACCACATTCTCCCACACGCTGTCCTGGCCTCTGGTAAATAACACTCCAGCTTTTGCTAAAACTGCTCAAATCCTCTGACATCTTTTCTACTTCAGACGGCAGTTGCTATATATTGGAATCAATATATCGATGTGGTAAAGCCGATGACGACAGTGGTGACAATGTTGATGATGAACTTTACCATGGTAATAATCCTCTGTGCGGCCATTTGTAATTTTCAAGTTTCTTTCATGTCCATTCTTTGAATCGTTCTCCTAAATTCCCTATGATGTGATCAAGATAGGTATTAAAATTTCTATTAAAATATTAGGAAACTGAGTCTCAACTGACCTGCCCACGATCACACAACTTCCATGGAGCTAAGACCAAAACATGGCTCATTTTGCCTGTGTATTCTCCTAGATTTATCAGGGTGGAGAAGAGATTATACACTCAATGAACCTCTTGGAACACCACATACCATGCTGCCATCCATGGTCAGGACATAAACTGAGGCAGGCAGGCTGGACGCTTACCCTAAAACTAACAAAGAGAACTGTATTGCAAAATCTTGAGTGCACGTTTTCAAAAAAAAAAAAGAATTATTCAAAGATAAAATCGCAGGGGCAGAAGTTGCTCGGAATGGAAGTATTTCAGTTTAAAGCAATCTGGTGTTTTCCCATGACTTGATGATCAGTGTGACCCAAATGGAGCTCTGTGGCCTCACAAAAGCCAGTCAAAGTTCAGGTTACATTAGCAGAGGCGCGCACGGTCCTCCTGAACCGTCTTCTGAGTGGGTCAGGCTGCCGGGGGAGACACATCCCACCGAGGAGTGGATTATTTTGGACAGATATTAACAAATAATAAAGTGTGCAGAGGCTAGTCAGAAAGGATATTGATGGAGATGCTAAAATGAGTCATAGAATATTAAAAGGACAGAATCAAGCCTAAGAAAAGATCGGGAAACATCCTAAACTCGAAGGAATGTGACACGTGTCAATCACATAGTAGACAGAAGAGGGAGAATCGGGAGTGGAGGCAGATTTCTTCTCCACAAGGAAAACCCTTTTAATCTTCCCCCAGGTGGGATCAGGAATCATGAGAGAGTCGCGGGCAGCATGCGGGCAGAGATTATAAGAGTATCTGACAGGAGCAGCAGGAGGATGCAGCTTAGGTAGGAGGTTGAAGCCAATGAGCATATAATGTACCTCCTGATTTGTACATTACATGAACCTGATTTTATCTTGACGGCACCTTACTTTATCAAACCATTGGAAAGCAGGCTCTCTCATGCTGTTTTAGGAAAGATAAAAATATTTTCTGTCTGCCTGATTCATATTCTCCTTCGCCCATCTGCCCCCTCCCTCTGTTTCCTGGTATCACTTGTGTCAGAGTTTAGCATTGTGATTTCATAACGTGGCTCTCACAGGAGCTTTAGCAAAGGGTTGGTTCCTGTACACACTGGAATCTGTCTGCCATACGGTCGAGTTCGACATCGTGTCGTAGGAAAAGTGTGGGTATTTGGGGGAGAATGGGCTGGTTTTCAGAAGATCAATGAACAATGTTCACTGAGAGGTTCCGTTTGGAGCACGTGGCTCAATGAGGGCGGGAACATAATGACCCCGAACTTGTCCTGTGGAGCCCTAGGAATAGACTCTCTGTACCCAGGCCTCTGGGGGTGTGGTGCTTGTCAGGGATGGGGCGGGGCTGGTACGGGGAAGTTAAGAGCTAAAACTGAGACGTCCGCCCCACCTAGTTAGGGCACCTGGTGAGTCAGTTTACTCATCTCTCAAATGGGATGAGAATCTTAGTGAAGCTTTGTGAACCCCGTGAAGCTTATGAAAGTCAGAAGAGCTAAGAAGTAGGCAACTAGACGGAAAAGACCTCCACGCTGTGGAAAGCTGTGGGCCGTGAACGCGGGGTGAGCGGTTCCCGAAGCCGCTTCCCTCCCGCTAGGAATCCGCGGTTGCCCATAACGCTCACCATCGGCGCCCCGTTTCACTGATGGGAGAACCCAGAAGTATGGTAACCGGTGTCAGATCCCACGAGAAATCAGTAGCCCTGACTCAACCGCGGCCTCCAGGACGCGCCCCCCCTCCCCGGGCCTCCACCCAGGACGCTGGGACCCCCGCCGGGTCCCCCTTACCAGGCGCGGCGCTGCGGGCTGGGGGCCGGCGGGTCGGCGCGAGCGCGCGGCCGAAGGTTCCGCGGAAGGGGTGCAGGGCAAGAAGGAAAATGGGGCTAACGGAGTGCGCCCCCTGTCCCCGCAGCTGGGGACACCCCCTCCGGATGGGGCGGAACTGCTGCTGCGGAAACTGGAGAGCAGCGAGTTCGGAGCGTGCTGCCCCCCTAATGGGATGCTTCCTGTCGGAGCCCGCGAGCCCCTCGCCCACTCCCATTTCCTCTTTAAGACGTGTGCAAAGAAGTGATGTTTGGAGCGTGAAAGAGAAGAACACGGGCCCCAATCCCCCCAGTTCCCCCGTTGCTAAAGACCCCTGTTGCCTCCGCGGGCGTGTCGTGCTCTCCGGCCACCATTCCCGGAAGATCAACGTTTCATCTCTCCTGTTGAGTCCAAGTACCTCTCACTCTAACACAGACCACGCTGACGTGAGTCTCCCTGTGAAAGCACCTACAAAGAGATCTACTGAGAAAATTAGTTATTTTCTTTAGCACAGGAAAGAATCACTGGCTTTTCAGGAAGGAGGACTTCTCTACCTTCGTGAACAGCTGGAGCCCAGGTGTGGAACAGGTTAGAATGGAGCCTTCCTCCTTTCCAGAAACTCCCCAGGGCTGGGAGGCAGAGAGTGACTACCCTTGTCTTTTGTTTCTTGGGGTTGGGTGTCTCTTCTTGGGGGCGTGTGTGTGATGTTTGAGGAGTGGTAAGCAGTTCTCTTCAGCGTATCCACGAGCTATTTCGCCAGCATGTGGAAGAATAGATCTTAGGTGTTTTCAGATGTAGTAAATCAAGGTATATACACGATTTAACACTATTTCCAAAGTAAAAAGGAGTGCCTAAAATTAATGGTGTAAAGAGTGAAAGGAAATATAAAATAAATAAGAATTGGGCCAAGAATGAGCTTGAGTGTTAGGTATAAAAGTAATGAAGACCCCAAATAATGATTAAAACAAAATACTGCATCATTTTGGAAGATAACTACTTAAAAAAAAATAGAGGTAAAAGACAAATTTAGAAAAA